ATATATATATATATATATATATATATATATATATATATATATATATATATATATATATATATATATATATATATATATATATATATATATATATATATATATATATATATATATATATATATATATATATATATATATATATATATATATATATATATATATATATATATATATATATATATATATATATATATATATATATATATATATATATATATATATATATATATATATATATATATATATATATATACACACGAGTGTGTGTAATAAATAAAAGAAATGTTTATTATATAACTAATAACTAATTTAGTTTATTTATATAAATACAATTATTTGTTTAAAAAAATTACTACACATATATACATATGTAATAATTCAAATAATATAATACAAACTACTGTGTGCAAAAATAATAATTCACAGAAAAGTTTATTATATCAGTATCACTAGAAGTGTAATAGTACAAAAATTGTTATTGTTGTTATCGTGATATAGTGTTATAGTTTATTATAAATGTAGTCATTTTGAATATTTAATATAGTATATTATTTTCTTTTTTTTGGTGTAGTATAGCTTAATTATGTAAATAAATGTATTCGATTCATATGAACATTTACTATTATATACTTAAATAACTTCTGTCTTCACAAGGTGAAATTGTGTGCCATACTTTGACAGTGCTGAGGTCCATTGGTTGCTTGATGATTTCGTGATAGTCATGCAGCTCGAGGGCCTCTGCATCTACAGGCTTGTAGAAGGGCCAGGCATAGGCCGCATGCTTCTTGGAAAGCATCTCTTTAAGGATAGTGTCAGAGTATTTGAGATGATCGTTGAGCTTGCTTTTCTTGTTGCCTTGTTGTTGGACATCCCCATCTTCCAGGTCCTTTTTGGGAGGTTTGATGGGTCGACCTGTGCTCTCTCGTCTGGAAATGACTTTACTGTGTTTGGACTCCAACATCGCAGTGGGCGACTCACTTCTGCTGGCAGTGATCACGCAGGTTGTGGGTGTGGTAGTGTCTGCTTTCCGCTTCACCCCTTTCTTCTGAGGAAAAGTAGATCGGCATGTGTTAAAACACAACAAAAAAAAACAAACAAACAGATGATCAGTAGAGTGTGTGACAGACTACACTTAAGGAAGCCTTTTATAAGTGGTCTGGTTTAGGGTCAAAATTTATCAGACACCCATCAGACATGTTTTTTTTTAGAGATTTACAGAGAATAAAAGACAGTTATTGAACAAACAAACAGTTTACAAATCATTTTATTGCACAAACTATCATAGTCCTCACAAAAAAAACAGATTATGCATAATAATGGGACCATTGCTCATAGTAGGCGATGTGAAATGTATTACTGAAGGCAGTGAATCGTTACAAAAGTTGTTTCGATGGCTGAAACGGAGGTGCTTTAGGAGATGAATTTAGAGATGTGACATCTCAGAAGAGGTTTTAGTGTGCTGACAATCTTACAGCTACTTTTAGACTGTTAACACACTAAAGCCATCAGAAAACTAAAGACCTCTCAAAGAAGTTGCACCTAAATTCATTCCCTTTAAAGTCTAGCTGCTAAAATATTTCAAGCTAAAAAAATGGAAGGAAAAGAAAAAAATATTAAAGGGGTCATATGATGCAATTTCAAGTTTTCCTTTCTCTTTGGAGTGTTACAAGCTGATTGTGCATAGATAAGATCCCTGAAGTTGCAAAGACTAAAGTCTCAAAACCAAAGAGATATTCTTTATCAAAGTTAAGACTCTGCCACGCCCCCCCTAAAACGGCTCGTTCTAACACGCCCCCACATATTATATATATGTACAATAATGTACAGTATTTGAAAAATAATGTGCTTTTTGAACATTAAAGCATGTCAACATATTCTGTTACACCAAATAATGATCTTTAAAAAAGCATCATATGACCCCTTTAATAATAAAAAACTAAAAAAATTACATAAATATTTAATGAATAAATAAATAACAATAGTCAGTTGCTGTTGTGTAATAATGTAAAGAAAAACTTTTTATATAAATGTGTATATAGATAGATGGATAGACAGATAGACAGACAGACAGAGACAGAAAGACACAGAAAGACAGACAGACAGACATAAAGACAGATAGACAGACAGAGAGACAGACAGATCTTAATACGGTAATTTCTTATAATTTATAGATAAATATTTAAAAATAAATAGTCATATTGGTCCATCCCTAAAACAATTTTTCCCCTTCTTGGCTACAGATGACCTCAAAATGTACTCTGCTATGACAGAAACAATGAAAAGGACAGAGCAAATAAAACCTGCTGCTTCCACATAATTTGAACTGGTCTTACTTTGACAACAGGCTGTGCAGTTGGGATCATGGACGTGGCAGGGGGCACAGCTGGGACATTGGAGGTGATGGTCGAGACTGGAGTAGCAGCTATTACAGGAGTCTGAGCCAGCTGAGGAGGGGAGCTCGGACATGACGAGGATGGCGAACCAGTAGTCAGTGCTATTGATTGTTGGTTTTCTGTTTGGATGTGAGAATGACACGGTCAGCTGGGATCTCTCCTTCAGGCAGCATGTCACTGGTAACTCCAAAGGTTTATTAATCGTGACAGTTACCTGAAGCAGGGGGTGCTCCAGGTTTCCGTGCTTTACCCTTCGGTGGTGGGGGTAAAAGTTCCACCTCCTCCTGGGGCATCTGTGCTACCTTTTGGAGGAAAATCTTTTCCAAGGCTTGAGCCATGAGAACAATGTCATCTGTGGGCTAGGACAATATTTCAAGGGAATTTCAATTAAATCACACATTATAAAACAACTTGGTAATGAAATTATACCAATATGAATACAAGTAAATATTAAGAACTTAAATCTACCTTGTTATAGATATAACAGTTTGTGAACATAGTGTTAAAATCCTGCATGCATTCTCCAGCAGTCCAATAGTAATTATTCTCAAGTCGCTTCTTTATGGTTCCCATGTCCATTGGATTCTTGATAATTTTATTGTAGTCCTGCACGACAAAGATAATAAAACAGACAAGCTGTAATGCACTAGGTGGAAGAAAACAAACATTTATGGGTGATGTATACATTTTTTAGATGTTCAAATACTAAATCTATTAGCATAGCACTGTAAACATTATAATTTTTTTTTTGATAATCCCAATACAACAACAAAAAGGTTCTGACTCAAAAACACCAACTCAATTAGCTGCATGAATTTGGGACAGGACTATTTGCTTGCCCAACCAATAGCAGACGGGGACCCTTTTAAAAAGAGTCAATATTTTTGCAATTCCATTTGGTAACACTAGAGGCACACAAATTTTACTAGCCACCTTCAGGTCAAAAACAACAATATTGTGAAATATTATTTAACTTAAAATAACTGTTTTCTATTTTAAAATGTAATTTATTCCTGTGATGACAAAGCTGATCATTATCAAAGCTGAAGTTTTTGCTGTTTAATATTTTTGTGGAAACTGTGATACATTTTTTTCAGGATTATTTAATGCGTAGAAAGTCCAAAAGAACAGCATTTATTTGAAATATAAATATTTTGTAACGTTATAAATGTTTTCTCTCACTTTAGACCAATTAATGTGTCCTTGCTGAAAAAATTTACTGATTTTTTAAAAAAAATTATCTTACCCCAACTTTTTTTAATGTTAGTGTATTGCAGTTTCCACAAAAACATTAAGCAGAACTGTTTTCAATGTTGGTAATAATAATAAATGTTTCTTGAGCAGCAAATCAACATATTAGAATTATTTCTGAAGGATCATGTGACACTGAAGACTGGAGTAATGATGCTGAAAATTCTGCTTAGCCATAGCAGGAATAAATGTATTTTAAAATACATCAAAAAAGAAAACAGTTATTTCAAATTGCGATAATATTTCACAATATTACTGTTTTACTGAATATATGCAGACTTTGTCTTCATTAAAAAAAACATAATAAGAAATTGCAATTATTGTGTACATTTCTGACAAGAAATTTATGAAAAACTAATTTATGGAGTGTATATTTATGAAATGAAGCCAAAAACTATTTACTCACTGGCAGATTCAATTTGATGGCATCCACAGGTGTGTAAAAAGGCCACGCAAACTGATGCTTCCATAGAGTCTTCACAACCACATTCTGCATATATTGTAGGGTTGTTGTTGTTGTTGTTGTGTAAATGAATAGCTGTCGCTCTCTGTGCCGCTCAGCCTTTAACCTTCTCGTGTATACAATGTTGTTTTTTTGTTTATCACAAATAAGTGACATGATTATAATATACAGTCAGCAGGTCAAGATGTATAAAAACCTTGAAAGGATTTGGTGTGGGTTGATGACCAACTGCTTATTAGCTACGTCTGTCTGTCCGTCCAAACCCATGCTGTTTACAATTATTCAATACTTACGAGTGTAATTTCACACAAAAGCTATATCATCAGTCAAATTTAGCCCTAGTGGTGAATGGTTGGCCAGTTCATGTAAGTAGTGCTTTTTATAATGTTCAATTTGAATCTACAGAAAGCAAACCAATGTCTGAAGATTTTGAAATGACAATCTCGTTTTCAGCGGCAGACAAGCTCATCAAAATATGGGGCGCTTTTGATGCAAAATTTGAGAAGAGTCTTGCAGGACATAAACTTGTGAGTTTTAATATAAGGAATAGTTCACCAAAAAAATGAACATTTGCTGAAAATTTACTTAACAACATTTTAATTTTTGGGTCAATTTACAGGAAAATGAAAATGCTGTCATCAATTTGCTTCAAACCTGTAAGACATTGGTTCATCTTCAAAACACAAACTAAGACATTTTTTAATGAAACCTCAGACATTTCTGTCCCTCCATTAAAAATGCATTTCACCAACTTTCATGCTTCAAAAAAGTTCACAAAGACGTTGTAAAGGAAGATAATACAGTTGAGCTGCCGTGGACCCTAGCTGATGAGTTCTATGTTTGTTTATTGATCAATGTTTATATGTAAATAACACTCAAATATATATTGCGGCATGCCAAGTGCCAGATGGCAGGATGGTACGTGCTGCATAATTTGGATAAATGTAGCCAATTTAAATGCAAATTAGGAGAGTGTTGTTGTTGATGGTGAACTGATCTGTTTTATTTCCAGATGATGATAACCCTCCTGTCTCATTTGTGAAGTTTTCTCCAAATGGAAAGTACATTCTAGCTGCGACACTGGACAAGTAAGTGAACTCATCCCTCTAGTGACTGTTTATTTTTTCCATTCAGTGCAGTTTCTGAGATGATATTAATTTTGGAAAAACTGCAAACAATGAAATGATGCTTCTTTTTTTTTTTTTTTCCTCACAGTACGTTAAAGCTCTGGGACTACAGCAAGGGAAAGGTATGTCATTGAACTACCGTAAATGTTGACTGCTAATAACATTCATCAAAATATTTTTCTTAATGCATTACAATTAATAGTATAAATTATATATAAATACCACATATATGTTAACTCACCATATGTTAACACCAACTAGTGTGCCAGACCTGACTAGTTAAAGCGGCTTATAAATCAGTCAAATCATGTTTATTATATTTAAATGTAGTGTTTTGCACAGGTTTCTGTCAGGGTTATGTATAAAGCTAGGGGTCAGGTTGAGGTTATGTGATTAAAAATATCACTAGCAATGAAAGTTAATTAGATGTCGTCACTAATATATTCAAAAAATATGTGTGTACCTACTTAACCATATTTTGGGGGACGATTTTGTACCCAGAAGTGAAACAAATCTGACAAAACCTCATTTTAGGGGTGTCCTCCTTTGTAAAAACTGTATAAAAAGTGTTTTTTAATGTACTTTTTTTTTAGGGTTATGTTAAAGTATTTATAATTAGCTGTATATAAACATAATACAAGTCTATGAAATATTAAGTTAAGTTCATGTGTGTAGGTAATGTTCATGCTTTAATTGAACTATTGTAGCTTTTAATTGTTTTTTTTTGTTTTTTTTAGTGTCTCAAAACATATACTGGACATAAGAATGAAAAGTATTGTGTGTTTGCCAATTTTTCTGTGACTGGAGGAAAGGTAGGTTCAGTATGACTTTGTCGAAGTATTTTAATACATAGGTATATATAGTTATTTAGAGCAGTTTTTGAATAACCAGAATCCGTCTTGCTCTCATTCAGTGGATCGTCTCAGGCTCTGAAGACAACATGGTGTATATCTGGAACTTGCAGTCCAAAGAAATTGTTCAGAAACTGCAAGGGCACACAGGTATATGACATTTGCTACACCTCCCAGACTCAAACACACGGCAGCCTCTTTGATTTTGTTAACATAAGTATGATGTCTTTTTGTCCTTAGATGTAGTGATCTCGACAGCTTGTCACCCTACAGAGAACATCATTGCCTCTGCAGCCCTGGAGAACGACAAGACCATCAAACTGTGGAAAAGTGATTGTTAAGTTAAAGCACTGCACTTCAGAGGCTTTAGTAGAAACTTCAGAATGATGACTTCCAGTAGTGTCTGTCTTTTACAATGGTTTGATAGCACTTAGTGCAGGGTTATTATCTGAGAGATGGGCAGGTCCTGTCTGCTCAGAATAGCGACAATCTCACTCGATCCTTTTCCCCTTTATATACTCAAATAATCTACTGTAATGTTTTCAGTTCATTTTAATTTATTACTGAAGAACAAATGTTTTCTATCAAATCATGGATTCAGTTGTTTGAATGGTGGTAAACATACCAAAAATGGATATATAAATGTTTTTAAGCAAGATCATTTTCAGGTCTTTTTTGCCATCAAATGATTGCATTTTTGCTTTTCATTTAAGTGTTTTGCAATGATTGATTATTAATATGTGAATTACCAATGTTGCTTAGGATCCTTAAATCCTTTCTAAACATAATTTTCCACTATTTAAGCTTTGAATTTGAAGGCATAAATTAGTCTTCGTGGCTTTGATCCATTGGAGTAGTAGGTACATTTCCATAAAATTAATATATATTATTTGATCCCCTGCTGATTTTGTAAGTTTGCCCACTTACAAAGAAATGAAAGGTCTAATTTTTATGGTAGGTTTATTTTAACGTATAGAGACCGAATACCAACCAAAAAAAATCCAGAAAAAAAACATTATATAAAGGTTAGAAATTGATTTGTATTTCAGTGAGTGAAATAAGTATTTGATCCCCAAGCAAAACATGACTTAGTACAAGCACAGAGGTAAGATGCTTTTTGTAGTTGGTCACCAGGTTTGCACACATCTCTGTTGGAAGACCCATCCATGACCCATCTTCAGTGTTCTGGCTGAGGGAAGGATGTTGTCGTCCAAGATTTTACAGTACATGGCCCCGTCCATTTGCCCCTCAATGAGTTGAAGTCGTCCTGTACCCTTAGCAGAAAAACAACCTCAAAGCATAATGTTTCCACCTCCGTGCTTGACTGTAGGGATGGTGTTCTTGGGGTCATAGTCAGCATTTCTCTACCTCCAAACCAGGAAGATGTTCTTTGGCAAACTTTAAATGAGCCTGTACATGTACCTTCTTGAGCAGGGGGACCTTGCGGGCGCTGCAGGATTTCAGTCCATTGTGGCGTAGTGTGTTACCAATGTTTTGCTTGGTGACTGTGGTCCCAACGGCCTTAAGATCATTAACAAGCTCCTCTCGTGTAGTTCTGGGCTGATCCCTCACCTTTCTCATGATCATCCTTAGCCCATGAGGCGAGATCTTGCACGGAGCTCCAGACCGATGCCGATTGATGGTTGTTTTGTATTTCTTCCATTTCTGAATAATCGCACCAACAGTTGCCACCTTCTCACCAAGCTTCTTGCTGATGGTCTTGTAGCCCATTCCAGCCTTGTGCAGATCTACAGTCTTGTCTCTGACATCCTTTGACAGCTCTGTGGTCTTGCCCATGGTGGTGGGAGAGGTTGGAATGGAAGATACAGATTGTGTGGACAGGTATCTAATACACCTAACAAGCTGACATTAGGAGTAACTTGTTAAAGTGGCAGGACTAATCTGTGTTCCACATGGGCACATAACCAATCTATGAGAGCCAGAATTCTTGCTGGTTGGTAGGGGATCTAATACTTATTTCACTCACTGAAATGCAAATCAATTTCTAACCTTTTATATA